CTATGTAGCTCTGCTCACCGCCCTAGCCATGCATTCATTTATTTGTGCAATCTTCAAAATTGTTATAAGGTCAATGACATTGTTGCGACCACATTATACAGAGGAAATGAGAGAGTAAAGATGTTGCCCAACTCCTCTATGATTATTGAATGGCATAGCTGAGACCTGATCATGGTCTGCTGTCTTCACAGCACTTCTAGAGCAGATGGTCATTAAACCTAGGAGTGTTGGTGGTAACAATGTTTGGTAACCCAAGGTTACCAAGTAACCCAAGGTTACTCTCTTAGCTAGGAATAAATGGCTCTTGACAACATGGGTGACCTTCCCAGCCCCACTCATGTGGTCTAGCTCAGCCGAAAAAAGTCCAAATAGGCCTCTTTTCAAAAAAAATTATTTATTTTTCTGTCTATGAATATTATACCTGCATGTATGTAAATGTACCTGTGACTTGTAGTGCCTGTGGAGGCCAGAAGAGGGCACTGGAGTTGCAAACAGTTGTTAGCCACCATGTGGGTGCTAGGATTTGAACCTGGGACTTCTACAAGAGCAGGCAGTGTTCTTAGCCACTGAGCCATCTGTCCAGTCGAGGCCTCTTTTATGTACCTCTCTGTGTCTGAGCTCTTCCTTCCCCTCTCTCTTGAGCAGGATGGGCATACCTTTTCTTTAAAGCCTCACCCCCAACGTCCCTACTTCTCTATGGCTTTCTTGCTCTGTGTCCCAAAGCCTGTGGATGGACTCTCCTACATCCAGCAAGATGCTATCCTACTACCTTCCAGTGTCCTTTGACACTCCATCCTCAAACCCAAAGAAAGTCCCAGTGGCATTCATCTCTGAAGTCCTGCAGGTACAAGGCAGGGGTACAAGGCAGTTATTTATGGACGTGATTACCCATTCCATAGGTTCTACCAGCACAGGCTAAGCTCCACCTCTGTTCAGTTGGATCTGGCCTTCCACCCTCCAAACTACAGCTGTCATGTGCACAAGCAAATATTCCTCTACTAACAACTGATTGAAGGTCACAGGCCTGGAGGAAGTGGAGAGAGACTTGGAACTGGTCAGAACCCCAGTCCCCTAGTGTCAGACCCTTGAAACTGTTGAGCATGCTGGGAAGGAAAAGCATCCTTCTTCCAAAGTAGTTGTTTGTTTCGGGGGCCAAAAAACTGAATTGGATTCCTTTTTGCCTTGTGCACAGTGAAGTTTCTACTTCCCAATGTTTAATATGGGTGATAAGGCTAAAGGCAGAAAAATAGCAGGGTTATCTATTTCAAAAACAGCTTGCAGTGCTGGTGATTTGAGGGTTTTGCATAGAACAGATATAATGTAGCCGTGATGGGAAATAAACCAGAACAGGACACCCACAAGATGACTCAAACAGTGGCCCCTGGCATCACCTTTTTCCTTCCAAAAGGAGGAAGCAGCTTGTGGGGGTAAGGTAAGCTGCAGAGCTGGGAGCAGTCCTCAGACCACCCTTTTGTAACACTGCCATCTACTGAGACGCTTTGCTCCTCTCCCTGCATCCAGATCTGCTGAGCCTTGGAATCCATTTGGTTTCAGCAGATTCCTGTGTGGTCTCATTTCTCATTTGATTTACTGTTCTATCTGCTCTGAGGAGGTTTTTTCCGTCCCCTTTCAGAATTAATTACTGTAATTATCCAAGCTTTCATAGCTGCTGATTTGGCATCTGCAGAAAATATCTGAGATGATGCATCCCATCGTTTGAATATCTGAAAGACTGTAAGGGGCAAGTGGACTTTTCCTCTGATTTCTTATTTCAATAATTTCTTCTTGACCTGAATAGAGGGAAGGGATCATGCTGAACAGGTTTCTTATTTGCATATTTAATGTGTCCAGTTAACATCACAGAAAGCATGATGTGATGAGCTTACCAGGCTCAGCCACATCCCTGAGGGTAACTGACAGCAACCAGGCCACTGTCCTTTGTTGTGTCACTTCAATGTGGGTCACTGCAGTGGGTTTCTGCACAATCATTCCATCAGTTTGACTCCCAAGATAATCCGACTTGGCTTAGCGGTTCTCAGGGCAAAAACACTGTCGTACAAAACAGCGCTGAGACGGTCAAATCATCTCACTGTGGGGCAAAGGCTACTGTTCCAGAGTGCTTGGCCCTGCACTCTATGAGAGCCTCTAAGGTCAGAGACCATGTTCTGAGCTTGGATCTGGGTGGATTTCTTAGGCAGGCATGTGTGGGGTATTAAGGTAAAGAGGGTTAAAGAAACTTAAGGTAACTCATTGGCCAGAAGCATTTGATTTAAGGGTCAGATGCTTTGATCCATTAGTTAGATGTTTAAAGTAACCGATTTCTAAACATCGCCCCCAGCAAGGACCCCTTTCCCTTATATACACACCAACACTCACATCAGCAAGGGGAAGTTTTATGTCCTTTTCTATTGAGTCTAACTGAATCTGTGACTGACTTGGACTGGCTGAGTGCTGTAGAAGCAATGCTGGCTTGGTCCAGACCCACATTTCTGCTTTTGTGTGTCTGGGAGTCCTGAGCTACTGTGGGCCCTGCTGAGAATCCACACAGAGACACAGGTGGAGGCCAGATACAGAGGACCACACAGAGGAGACTCAGACCATGCTGACAACCTGAGACAAGGAGCCAGACAGCCAAGTTGAGTGGCAGTTCAGTGGCCCCTCAGTGCATGAATTGACCCCACTGTGGTGCTGACTCCATTGATGAAAGTGCATTTGTGGGAGTTCCAGCCCAATGAGAACCCCGTGGAGCAGAACCGCATCCCTGCTGACACACAATACCATGAGAAATTCTGCCATGTCACTTGACAATGGGGACACATCCTCAGAAATTCACTGTTAAGCACCATCATCATTGTGTTCACATGGTAAAATGTGCTTATGACCTAAGATAGCTGTGACATCACCAGACAATATAATCCTAAGAAGTCACTGTGACACACATCTGTCATTGATGGAGTACTGTTTCATGACTTGTAGTTGCAATGGCATAGTTACCGCCAACTTCATATCCCATGTGTCCCAATACATCCAGTTCACTGTGATGAGTTTCCCTATACACTGGCTTCATTCTCTGTGTAAATGCTCTCCAGTAGAATAGAAAGTAAAAGAAGAAGTGTGGTCACTGGTGATGTACAGCTATGGACCCACATTAGGGCTGTTTTCACTCCTACCCCAAATACTACTGTTTCCATAGTAGAACAAGCTCCAGTCTCTAGACAGTAGGCTCCTCCTCCTCCATGCTTCCCTCCAATTTCAGAGGACTTTCAGTATTTGTAGCATGTTGCTATTATGTTCAGACTGTAATAATTCCAATTAACTGTTATGTCTTCCTAAAATATACAGCGTCTCTTTTAACCCCTAGATGAAGCAAAGCTGGACTTTTGCCTCCGAGAGGTATCAAGCCTCCAGAGGAATACAGTTAGGACCAGATACAATGCCAGATGCAACAAGTGGGAATCCCCAAAGGTGAGTTAAGTTATCAGGACCTGTAGCTCCCCAGTGGTTACGATAGATACAGGAGTGCCCTCAACAAAACTGTCATGAGGGTTAAGACAGGGAAGGGCAGCGTCCTACCTGGTGCAGAGCAGCTGCCGTCTTCCACTGATGTCCCCTCATCGTTCCAATAATCACAGACTATCCCAACACTTCCCCTTTGTCACTCCTCAAGAGTGTACTATTGGGTCCTGTCTTGTCCTGTTGTTTCATGTGTTCATTCACGCAGTTGTCTTTCTGTTATGGGGCTGGTGGTTTTTAGTATGAAAACCTGAGTCACCTTTGATGCTTTGTCTTCCTGTGGTCAGTACCCTGTTCATCTCAGGCTGTGAGTAGAGCCCTTGACTGCTTTCTGTATCCTTCCCACAAACATCACTGTGCTTCATCTGGGCTGTAGACATGGTCCTAACTGTTGCCCAGTTCCTCTTCTCCACCACTCCCTTTCCAGCCCATTCTCCATCAGTCACAGTAGCTTTTTAAAAAGGATTTTCAGTACAAAGACTTAAAAGTTTCATCTTTCATTCATTTGAGAGATATGTCTTTTTTTAAATATTTTATCTTTTTATTTTATGTGTATGAGTGTATTGCCTACATGTGTGTAAGATCACCTGTGTCATACAATGCTCAAAGAGGTCAAAAGAGGTTGTTGGAGTCCCTGGAACTGGAGTTACAGATGATTGTTAGCCACCATGTGGGTACTGGGAATGGATCCTGCGTCCTCTGTAAGAGCAGTCAGCACTCTTAACCACTGAGACATCTCCTCAGCCTCTTGAGGGATATATCTTATTATCTTCAGGATAAAGCCCTACTTGCTGACAAGGTTGCAGCTGACCTCTGCTCACTTGTGTCCCCAACTTCCAGCTGTCCCCTGCATTCCTGAACCTGGCATCTGCAGCAAACTTCTCATACCTAGTTAATGGCTACTGATCTTCCCACCCCCCAACTCCCATCATTCTCTCATGGACTCCTGTTTCCCCCCTCAATATTGCTTGTCACCATTTGTGATTGTGTATTCATTTGTGAGTGTATTTATTTAGTCCATCTGCATTGTCACCAGCTCCCTGTCTCCTCAGTAGTCAATGTCTGTGTTCATCTGGTCAGCCCTGATCAGGACACAAGGCTGGAATCCCAGTCCACATCCTTGGATGGTTAATCGCCACATGGAAGAGGATTTCTGGTCTCAACAGCACCCAGTGCTGTGTTTTACACCTGGGACTTGCCTCATTGATGTTCAATGACCTTCAGCTATGTTTTTTTCACCTGTTGCTTTTAGAAGATCAGTTCACCTGAAGAAGTGACCTGCTTTGAATAGCCTTTGAAAGATGGTTACAAATCTATTAAAGGTCCAACGCACACTGACCCTGCCTTTCAAGAGGTTCTGCCCCTGGGTGGCTCTACCAATAAAGGTACTGAGGTTAAAGGCAGCAAGAACGATTGGATTCTTGTGCCAGAAGGAGCTGCAAAAATGAGCCAGGTGACAGAGACAAAGTGTGTTCATCAACAGATACCTGTGGGTGATCTTCATGGTACAACCGAGGCAGCAGTCTCACCATGATGCAGATGATCCCTGGGTGCATGATCATGATGTCACCCTCATCCATCCTGCAGAGAAAGGGAAAGCAGGACATCAGACATGGGCCCTTCCAGTCTCTTCTTCATGCAATTTTCTGGATCTTTTTTCTAAAACAGACCATGATCCACATTCTCAGTTTACTACCTAATTACCTGATGGCCTTGAACACCTGAGTCTAATACAGCTCAGCTGTACAATGGGTGCTAACAGTATATTCTGCTCATAGAGACATGGATACAAGCCTTCATCTTGAAGGCCCAGCATTCAGAACAGAGTTGGTGCTCTGTAGAGTTGGTCATCTGTTCCTCTTCCCTTCTCTCCCGACATGTGGGAGACTGAAAAATTCCCATCTTCTGTTAGACTGTGCTGCCGTTTGAATGTGAAATGTCCCCCACAGGATTGTGTGTTGCAGGCCCAGTCCCCAGCCAGAGTGCTGTTTGAAGGAGTGGCGGAAACTTTAAGACTTGGGAGTCTAGTTAGAGGACAGCAGTCTGAATTGTCATCACTTTGAAGGATGTACCTGGTCCTCAGTCTCTCCCTCCTTCTCTTTTTCCTATCTGCCTTGAAGTGAGATGCTTCTGCCATGTAAACCCACTGTTACTATGCTGTGCCTCACCACAAGCCCAGAATCAATGGTGCCAAGAATTAGAGGATAAACCTCTGAAACTGTGAGCTAAAACACACCTTTCCCGCTCATTAAGTTGCTCTGTCAGGTATGCCTTTGTCAGAGACACAGGGATAAAAAGCCTCTCTCTCTATCTCTCTGTCTCTCCATCTCTGTCTCTGTCTCTCTCACACACACATATACCTCACAAAAGAATTTCAAAATTCATAAAGTAAAACTAACAAGAATAGATGACTAAATGGCCAAATACTCAGCCAAAGTGAACACTTTAACACTGTTGTCTCAGTAATTAATAGAAAAAAACAAGGAAAATTGTCAAGAATATAAAACTGAATGTTAGCATCAACAGCAGATGTAATTGGTGTTGATAGAACATTCCACCCAATAGCTTCAGAATATACATTCTTTTCCTGTCGTTCTCATGGAACATCTATCAAAATAAACGGGATTCTGCATCACAAAATACATCTTGAAATATCTCAGACAAGTAAAATCATGCAAAGTATGGTCTTTGGCCATTTGACATTAAATTTCAAACAAATAACAGAAATAAAGCTTTAAAACATCCAAGTACTTAGAAAGGAAACAATACATTTCTAAATAATTCATGTGTCAAAGAGACAGTTTTAAGAAAAACTTGTGTGGGGGAGGGTACACATGTCTGTGAATGTGTATGAAGGTCAGAGGTCAACCTTAGGTGTTTTTCTTCAGGCACTGTCTACCATCTTTTAAAAAATAGGGTCTTGGGGCCTGGAGAGATGGCCCAGATGTTAAGAACACTGACTGTTCTTGCAGAAGACCCATGTTCGAATCCCAGGATCCACATGGCAACTAACAACTGTCTATAACTCCAGTTCCAGGAGATCCAATAGCCTCTTCTGTCTTCCTCAGGCATTGCACAACACACGTGCACTTACCTACATGCAGGCAATACATGCATACACATAAAATAAAAATAATAAATAAATAAATAAATAAATAGCAAAAAATAGGGTCTCTCACTAGCCTAGAACTTGCCAAGGTAGGCTAAGCTTGCTGGGCAGTGAGTCCCAGGAATCCTGTCTCTGACTCCTTGGTGCTGGGACTACAAGGGTATGACACCACTCTACTTTTCTTTCCTTCCTTCCTTCCTTCCTTCCTTCCTTCCTTCCTTCCTT